CTCTGTAAATAATGTTATAAGAGTTCGGTCTAGACCTGCTCTATTTGAAAAGTGTCCTGAGATAACTCCCGTGTCTGAATTGGTGCTATACAAATTAAATTGAATTATTTGGATGCTATGTATATACGCAATTCAGAGATACTGCAGCATTTTCTTTCATACTAATTTGTTTGTAGATGTCTTGATTTGGTTTCAGTTAAAGAAACTTAGGGCAGAGCTTGTTTGCAGGCTGTTTTAGGCACCTCTGTATTGGAGTGTGCATTCAGTCACAATGGCAGACTTCTTGCCTTAATTTATTTTGACGAACTCCCTCCGGACCGCACTCTCTCACACAATGGTGAACATTTTGGTTGCACTGCTCCAAACGCCATGAAAGACACATGATCAATTTATTTTAGAAAAATAATGAAACACAACGCGCTTAACTCACAATTAGACCTGAAGACCGGAAGCTGGATCCTTAATGTAGTCAGTAATAATAATACAGACTGGGACGGGGCGCACAGTAGTTCACCTGGTAGAACACATGGCCCTTGTAGTCCTTACCGCAGTGGCCCGGGTTCGATTGCAACTTGCAGCCCTGTGCTGCATGTCGTTCCCCCCTGTCCTGTCTATCTTCACCTGTCCTTTCAATTAAAGCATAAAAAGACCAAAAATATCTAAAAACATAAAAAGACTGGGACAGCCCTCCAGTTTGACTCTTCAGTATTGCCAGACTCATGTGTCAGGGAGAAGTCCGAGATGAGGAAGGGCATCTTGCTTGAAACAGCCATCTGTCAATATTAAAAACCGCTGTCCCACTCTTTCTTCTTTTTTATTTATTTTTAGAAAGGAAACACAAATATTTTTCCATACTTATCCAGATCTGGAAAGGACTCAAATCAATATCAATATCTTTCCACACTGCGTAGGAACCCTATAATCTTTACGCCACAGCTACGGTCAACACTTCTAATATTTGATTAAGAATGTATATTTTCAGTCATGTTTGGTTGACAGGAATGTAGCAAGACAGTAAATGTATTTTTCTACCAGTGGATGTTATGTTTGACCAGATTTTTTTCTCCTCAGCTGATTATATTTATTGTGTTTAATCCAATGCTGTAAGTGCAGTCAGATAAGCTAATGCAGCAGTGGATGTTCACATGCACTACTGATCATACATAAATCTTACGAGCATCAAGCCGGTAAGCCTTTGTCAGCACAAGACATTGTGTATGTATTTGTATTCAGGATTTTCAACACATAGTGATTCTGGTTTGGTTTGTCAACAAAATAACACACAATAAAAAGTTTAACCAATGATTATAATTGTCAGGTGTAATTGTTTTTTATTTTTTTAATAATGAATTATATAATGTAATTAAGTAATTATTTAAAATCACAGGAAGGTGTGTGGGAGTGCTGTGATGTAGGCCCAGTCCTCTGTGATTTACTGACACTTGTGGACATGCAACACTTACTCAAATTATATAATATCTCATCAGTTTATAAGGCCGATATAACACAAATCTCACCATTCTGAATGAGGTATACAGAGGTATAACAAGAGCCATGTAGTTTGAGCCGTAATGTGTTTTTCATTTCAAAATAAGACCTAATTGTGCTAGAATCCTTTAATTGAATGGGTTTTTTAAATTAAATGCTAGTTAGTCCCAGCGATGGTCTGACTGATGTGTCTGTGACGGGGGTATGAAGCATAGTGCTGCTATGCCAAGCAGAAACAAACAGTTGAAGAAAGTCCACTGCATTCTGCGAGACAATTGAATTACAGACATTACAACCATAAAGCCACACAGACGTGACTCCAAAACAGCATACCACTGTACATTTAGTGGCAGGACTTCAGATTCAGATTCATTCTTTA